AGTAGATTTATATGAGATCACACTTTTTCTACACCATCTACTTTTAACATCAAGAAGAAGGCAATAACACCAGATTTTGTCCCTTAAATATTCCTTTTCATTAGTGAAATAACATACCTTGTAGATTTGAAGAGTGACACTCAGCTCCAGGACACTTGTATTTAGTTCCCAGAAAAAATAATAGTGTAAACATACAGAAAGTAACTAATAAAAAAATCTACACAAGAAAACTCTAAAGGAAGCTTTGTGATCAATCTTAGGTAAGGCAGTCAAAATATCACAGGAGTTCCTTAAAGGAGCAAAATTTAAAGCAGGTAAAATAAGGATGCCTCATGAAAATGTAATGTTTTCACATTTAATGATTTTCTTTATGTATTTTGTTTCAACAAGTCTCTACTTTTATCCCTCACCTTAGTAAAAAACTGTTTATTTAGTTTGAGACATTCTTTATAATTGAAATCAACACGGTTCATGGCAAAAAAAAGATTTTAGACCTGAGTGCCGGTTTATTTCAAATGCACATGATGTTACAATCAAACTGCAGATATGTCTACTGCTGTGACTTATTCAGCGAACTATTTCTGCTTCAATGAAGCAAAGAATGTGTTTATTTCCTGGAACATGTAGAGGCTAGTTTCCCAAGCTCCACATGGAGCAGTATCCCTCCCCCATCCTGTCCCCCCCCCAGCTTCCCATGCTCCTTGATCTATGCCATGAAGACAAGCAGAAATAGTCCTGGAGAAGGAAGAACTAATTTGGCTGGACAAGCTGTGCAATTTTTCATGGTGTAAAAAATGAGTATTTTTATAAATGTAACAGTGTGGTTACTAGAGGGGGAAAAAAAGGACAGGTCTGTTCTTTTGGTGGCCGTTTGGCTGCAAAATACTCTCTTATGCCTAGGTGTTAATTTTCTCATTTCCTTGACTCTCACAATTTATTACCTGTTTGAACAGCCAAATTCTACACTGAATTTGCACACAAAAGGGGAACACCACTTATTTTAGATTGATACAGAGAGGAACAGTAATGTGGAAGTTCTAGGAACTATTTTGGTAATACATCTCAAAAAAGTTCCATGTCACAGGCTCTACTGCTTAGTAGAAAACCTGTCCAAAAACTAAAGAATTCTTGTGACTGGGGCTTTTCTGCATTTTGAGTTGAACAATACAAATGGAACCACTTGTAAGAATAGCTGACATAACAATTGTCTTGCTTTGACTTTAATCTGCCACCTTCTTATGGCTGAAAGAAGATAAGTATGGTTTCTAATGGTGGGGGTTTTTTTGTTTATTTGCTAAGACAGACTAGCTGAAAACATAATGGTTGTTCTAAGAAAGCAATGGTATCTTCAGAGAACCTGTTCATTACCTGAACCATTCCCACATTTCTCCTTAACTTATGGCACCACAAGTGTTTTGAGGTCAACGAGCTCATCAGATTTAAAAATGACTTCAAGAAGGGAGTTATTTTAATTCTTTTTCTCTCACTTACAGATTCATAATCTAGCTTTCTGAGCAGCTTCAGTAAGAGTTTAAGTATAACCATGGGGAAAGCACAACAGTGGCCTGAGCAGACAGGAGAGTGAACTCTTCAAATGTAAATTGGTCCTAAGAAACAAGAATCACTGAACCTGTATCACCATGACTGTTTCAACACTTTTAGACAGTGTATATCACCTTCTATTTCAGAATTTACATCTTTGATAAATTCTAATTCCACTCTAATTCCCAGCTCAAAGAATTCATATTCTGTCATTCAGATGAGGAAAAAAGTCTTCAGGTGGGAAAAATGTCTTCAGTTTACAAAGTGAGCATAAATCACAATTTAAAAAACATGCTTTAATTTCTAATGTTTAGATGCTGACCCTATACATAAGATTGGTATTTACAGTTTATTTACCTGAACTAATTAAAATATAACTATATCATTGTGTATTTAATTTTCTGACATTTTAAAAACACACATAAGTCATTGTGTCCCCCTTTAAAGTTTGCACAAAGGTGATAGCAATTCTCCTAGCCTCTAATACTCTCTTTACTTGTTCATTATAGAATCCTTTCAACTTTGCCTCTAGCAATTCACAAACTCATTTTTTCATGAGTAAATATTTAAACCAGATCTGCTTTAAAATGTCTACAGAAAGGAGATAAAAGCAAGTATTTAGATTTATAGCTAACTGGGTAATAATCAACTGCTACTAGAAAGAATTTGATCCATGTCTCAGCTTTAACATGCAGTCCAGGTAGGGGGCTGTGAGCCTTTGTGCCCTTATGGTAATGTTCTTAAGCAAACAAAAGATTGCCACACACCTTGGAGGACAATTAATTCATTGAAACAGGACATTTAAACTTTTCCTTTTCATCTATAACGTAAGAGCTAGCTGCACTAATATTTGACTTTCTGTTTCAGTGGAAAGAGAAGGATAAGAAAGGCAGAGAATGAGAACTTAGTCCTCTGATCATTGAGAGGTTGTCCCACACACTTAATGGTCTGTCTCCATTTACCTTCAAGTAATGCAGTCTTAACTATCAAAATATATCCATTATTGAAATAGATTAACATTAACATAGCTAACATTTTCAGCATTACATGGAAAATGTTCCACAGACCATTATTTATGCATCCTTACAGAATCATATTTTTTACTTGGACTTAAATTTCCCTCTGTTTGATGCTAAGTAAAACTCAAAGTTACTTCAGTTCATTTAGCTACTGTTGTAGGAAAAACTTCCTAGGCTGCTTGAGGAAGGCAGGTATGCTTTCTAAAACTGAGGCAGCTGCTGCTAGAACCTGAAGAACCAATACACAAATTCTGAATAAAAGCCTTCTGAAAACCACAGTGACATATGGCAACCGTACTTCATAGTAGGATTTCTGTTATTTAGGATTTTAATGGGCAGTTAGTATGCAAATAACAAAACATTTTCATGACTTCAGACCTTTTATTATTGCTTCTGTAAAAGCTAGAAGTAATTCCCAATTCTCACAACTTTGCTGTTACCGCTTCTGCTATTTAGTCAAAGGTTTTGTGCCAGCTATGAGAGTAGGCAAAAAGAAGGCTCTAATCTGGATTTACCACTGCAGCTTGTGCCAGAGAAAATGCTCTTTTCCATGGGGTTGCCTGTTGTCCACTTAAAATGAGTAATAGCTTCCTAATGGCTCAATTTAGGATCCAAACTTAGGCTCAATTACGAAAGCCAAATCACTAGAAACTAAACAATCTGAGTTATTTCAGAAGGCTTGGCAACTGTTCTTTCATCACCTTTCCAAAATAATAATATGTGACTTTGAAAAATATGAAATACACAATCACTAATTACAGACAAAGCTGAATGATAAGGGAGAAAATTTCTTCTTCCCTTCTTCGATTATGCTAGGGAACAGAATTCATGTTTGAAGAGCATACTTTCTTGGACGGGAACAAACAAGAAAAGAGAAAAAGTCACATAAAATGAATTTACAAGTTAGAGATCCTCCATTAGAATAACATTGTTGCACTTTACATTTCATTAACTTTTTTTTTTTTGCAGATAAAAGACGAGTAAAAGCGGATGAAGGGGATAATACTGAATTTGACCACTTGAAGGAATTAAAATACATGCATGTATGAAATTGTCTGTGTTCATACTCTGTCTAGAAATACCTTCTGCAACTTACTGAATTTGAGTGATTTACTTCAGTAAGTGGAGATCAGCATTTCATTCTTGGCATCAAACCCAACACTGTTTGATATGAAGAACATTCTTTCTAAACACTCTAAGATACTGTCTAGACTACAAGAAGAGTTAAACATTTTTGAGTTTACTTTCTAGGCTTATGTTATACATGGGCATGAGTTACTGCTGCAAACATTAGAACTTATTTGACTTATTCTCTGATTTACCGGCTTTGAATGTTGCAGTCTTCGAAAGTAAAAGTTTTTATAGATGTAGAAAATGTTTGAACATCTGGTTTTATAAGTTTATTACCCAAAAGGCACTAAAACTAAAATGGAAACAAAAAAAAGAAAGTTTGGTTTATTTGAAAAAAAGACTATCTAAGCAATACATGAAATGCTGAAGAAGAAGGATTATTCAACGGAAATTAATACAATATAAAAATATTGAAAAGTAGGGGTTTAATGCACAATAGTATACTTTTGGTTCTATTTTAATTTTACACAATTAAAAAAAGAAGAAAGGATTTATTAAAGTAGCAGAAAGTATTTCAGGAACCTGACAATTCTTTCTATAAGCAAATGTTTCTGTTTAAACTAGGGGAAAAACTCTTAAAACATAACTTCCCAGTGACAGAAACAAACAAGTAAACCCAAGATTTTCCCCATAATTATCTTGAATCGTATGTATTTTTCATTGTATAAAATAGACAGCAATAAACACAAAAAGAATAGTTCACTCTTTTCATTGAATTAAAAACATGATGTGATGTAGACTACCAACAGTCTTGGTAGAAGCAGCAACAAGGTTTCTGCTACAGAATAAAGAAGTTCTCTCCTTTAGAAGAGATTCTAATTCTCTCATTGGCAAACAAGTAGAGAAACCAATTACTTATTTACTTTTAACAGTATACAGGAATATAAAGTTATTATCTATATCGTTCTCCCTCACTGTAACCATAGTATAAAAGTTATTTTTAAAGGTATCAACAAATACCTTTTTAGGTGTCAGGAAAAGATACTACCCTACCTGACAGTTGGCAGAGGGTCTAGGAAGATTGCCTTCTTTTGGCATTAACACAGAAATTAAAAGTTTATGAGATAAGATCAGAAGTGGAGTCAAGAATCCCTGACCATGTGTTGTAACAGGAACGTTTATCTGCAAGGGACTGGCTATTTGTGGGAACTTCTCAATGATAGTACTGGACCTGCTGAAATGAACAAAATCATTTACTGACAAAAAAAAAAAAAGTTTTAAAAAGAGTTTGTAACTCTGTTTTTTTTTTTTTTTTGGCCGGTTTTAAAGTTAAAAGAGAAAACACTCTAAAGGAAAACCAGCACTTACAGTGAGGCTCATAGGGGGGAGGAGGATCACCACAAGGAACACATTCCATGTCTTGAAAGCCTCCAAGCTTAGTCTTCCTATAAAATCTAGAAGATAGAAAAATGTGCAAAAATAGTTAATCAAAGCCAGTTATTATTACTCACAAAATTAATCAGGTGTTTTAACAAAATCATCTATAATTGCAAGTTTTGACAATCTGTGTCTCAATGCAAACAATCAGGAAAAAGATGAAAATAAAAGTAAACAAAAGTACAGTAGCTATTACTTAATAGTACAAGACAGGTCTAAAATAAAGTGAGGAAAACTTCTAGATCTGTTAGTCCAAATGCATAGTCCCTATAATCTTATATTCACAGAAGAAATAAACAGGTCTGGAGATTTCAGACAGAAATCAATTTCCCATTTTCCACACAGATCACAACATACATGGCACGCATTAAGAACTTATCTTATGCAAGCTTAGTTACATGTCTAAAAAATAAAAGTGAAGTGGTTGATCTATATATTACAAGGTAATTATCACCTCTAAAAATATATAACAGGCTGGATATCAGTGACATTTTATTTAAAGACCCTTTAAGAACTTTATTACTGAGGTTATGTTTGAAGAGTGTACTGACTACAGTGACTGGCAAAACCCTACATTCCCAGTCAGGGATCAAGAGTAGCACAAAAGAAAAAACCAGAACTTCAGAATGCTGTGTTTCAAATTTTAATGTATGACATCCTCTAAAGAACTTACCTACAGCTGCTAATCAAGTAGGTCTGTCTGTCTTTCAACCATTCATTAGGACTAAGACAGAATCAGCAGCAGTGGCCTGTTCAAGATGAGTACATGAACTGTTTTCTGTAGCAGTAGTGGCACATCAAATAAAAGGTACTAACTCTACTGATGTAATATTCTTAATACTGCAAATGCCATTAAAGTATGAAGTTTTTATCAGCTAAAGCAAACAGCTTTCCAACTGCTCAAGAAATTAATGCCTTAATGTGAACAGAAACAGATCCATAGGCTGCAAGACTTAAGGGGTCACTGTGATCATTCACTCTGAACAAAATGTGTTAATATTTGTTTTTAGCTGACATGCTCACTGTAGTGTTTTGAAGCTGAACAATAGAGAATGGCATGTTAGAAACCCACGCAAAACAGAAATAAGTAAGACTGCTGAGAGGTAAAACATCAGCTAAATTATTTGGTTAGGTAGCTGTATCCTCCATTCACTTGGGCAGCATCTAAACTGAAGGACAGGTATGAGTGGTGGTGTGTCCTACAGTCCTGCTGCCCAAAACATTCAGAGCAGATGTCCCATGACTACCCTTGCCATGGCCACGACTCCCTCCCTCCTCCTGTTTCCAGCTTTGCTGCCAGAAAACTCAGGTTGTGGAAGCAGCTCTCATTTTAAAACATACTCAACACACCTATCTAGGATGCATTCTAGACCAGAATATTGAGAAGCATTCCCAGGTCCTCCAGTTTAGCTTTACCCTTAATTCATGTCCTAATGTGGCTTCTTTTTCATTCCATTCTCATCTTCAAAAATTCAGCTTATATTGTTTACAGAAGAAGAAAATCATCTCCCTGCTGGCAGCCAAGTAAGCTTTACAATACATATATATATGCCATAAGAGCACAAATCAATTCACCACATAGCTGCAAGCAGTATCAAAAGTGGTTGTGAGTAACATCTATAATGCCTGGGGCTGCACCTTCTTGTACAATGACTTAAGCTAAGATTAGTTACCTAACCTTTACTAAGTGTTTCTAAATGAAGAGATTTCACCTCTGGCTTGAGAAGGAATAATGGAGGAAGCTTCAACAGTGTTCAGATATTTGACAGTTGGTATTAAAAAACAAAAAAAAAACAGCTGAAATATAGATACTAAACAAGTGCATGAACTTTTAAGCGTATCTGAAAATACACTCTGAAAATACCAAGGCTGTTACAATTGCAAATCAGTTCTCATACACTACTCCTATTAGTTAAATTACCAGTTAAAAAAAGCAATAAAAATATCTTTTTACAAATTCATGGCAGGTGTTTATAATATTGGAACTTGGAAGCAATGTAAAGAACAGCCTTTTAAAGACGTTAAGATTTAATACTACAAACATAAAATTAGCAACAGACGTTTGGGATGACAGGACAAAAAACTAGGAACTGCTTTTGATTTATAAAAGCAGTTTCAGCAAACAATTCTTTCAGATTCATTTATGATTCTCAGCCAGGATCATGCTTTATGAATTTTTAAAGAAGGAAAGGTGAAGGAAATTTCAGACAGTAAACCACAGCCACTGGTTTTGACCTAAGAATATACGTGCATGAGAATTACTAGGCATTGACCCAAGGCGGGGGAAAAAATGCAAGCAAATCATGTGATCATTTTTGAAGAAGGTATCTGTGTATGTTTCCAAATGTTTAATTCTTGATAACAGTGAACTAAGTCACCAGTAACACTGTTTGAGGTATTTTGCTCAGGTGCTGTACAAACAATACTCTCATAGACCAAGTAGATAATTATAAAACCATTTTTGTAGGTACTCACTACAGCAATTCAGAAATTATGTGCTCAGATAATACAGTAAGGCCAAGATTAGAACATAGGACCTTCATGCATACACAAAGGGTACCAACATTTATCCAGAAAACATGGACAAGCAATTCTACTGTAAATTAGGCTAGAATTTGTTCAAGTCTCATCTTCAGAAGTGGTCTTACCCTGGTAGACAGTCACCACACAGTGCATTGCTGGTGGCAGAGCAGTTGGCCTTCTGAAACCGGTTAACCAATGCACAATCCAGACACGGCTTGCACTTCTGAAAGCCCCAGTCTTCCTTGAATCTGTTTGGCCTGCATGTCATGCACTGTGCATCCTCCCCATATCCAAAGCCGCATTCCTGTAGGGATTAACAAGCAATAGCGAGCTATTCAGTCACTGAAAGCGTGAACAAGAAGAAAATGCTGGGATAAAATGAAGACCTAGTGTAATTATTACTGAGAGCAGGTCTTTCTTGAGACAAAAGCCATCCTTTCAGCAAGTTCAAATGTGTCTTCCACTGCTAATAATCTCCCTTACTTCTATAAGTAATACTTAGTCATCCACTTTATTCATGAAACCACTGTGTATTTGAATGATAAAGGGCTTCAAGGACTCCCACAGTTTCATTATTACTAGCTTATGGTAGAATTATTGAGCTGTCTGTTTTTTAATTAGGTCAGTCATGTGAAAGCGAAGAAACTGGGACAAGTGAAGTATAAAGGCACTTACTCAGTTACAAAAACAGCAAAGAAGCACTTTGATATTAAGGTTCATAGCTAAGGTGAACAAAGTTAATTGCTGAAGAGAGTGCACTGATCTTCAAAAGCTTAGGACTTCTGTTACCAAATAAACCAGAGCTGGTTAATGACCATCAGCTAGGCATGAAATGTCGTTTCAGCCACTAAGAATCTGAAAAACTCAAGCCACTACAGTTCCAACAGTTTGAGAACTGTTGGAAAAGTTTAACAGATTTGCAGATCACAGGGAGGCACAATATTTTACTATACACACAATATTGTTCTGGTTGCTTATTTCTGCCAGATTTAGCGGTTTAAAGGCATTATTTCCATTCATTTGCAAAGGGACACCTAATACAATGGGCAAGCTGCAAAGAAAAGCACCAAGCCATGTGTAATAGTTTGGGGACTGAATCCTATGAACCGATTACCAAGAACTATCAATCAACTTCTTAGGGGTTATCAAGTTACTGGGAGATGCTATTCCCTCCTATCATCCAAATATCCTATCAATTTTGTTCAGTACTTTGAGGTTCGATTTGATGCATTAGAGACACACCACAGAATTGCAAGGGGAATACAACAAATTGCCAGAAAGAACTTAATAGGAAAGACAAAATGTGGGGACCTTTTCTCCAGTATGTATTTTCAGTGGAAGAATAGGGCATCTTCCCAGTGGGAAAGCTGCAGGAAATCTTCAGCTGGGGCAACTTCAGAGAAGGTTTCCACCAGTTTGATATATTATAAACATGCATGATGCACGTGTTTGATGCATATAAACAACTTTTTCCAAAGTCACCAACCTAACCAAATAAAAAAGCTTTTAAACTTTAGAAACACGCTCAGATTCTCCAAGATCCAACACACTTGGATTCTCCAAGGCTTTGTGCTGAGAGAGCATTTATGGGACAAGCTCTGTGATCAAACTGGCCAATATGCATTTTATAGTGCCTCTAATCTGCAATGATAAAGTGAAAATAAACAACTTCAGACGCATTTTACGGGACACTCTAAGAATTTTAAATTTTCCTTTATGTTAAGAATAAACTCTCCTCTGAAGAGCAAGCCCTCAAGTATGCAGAAAATGAACAATTTATGAAAGCATCTACAAAAATAGTCTTCTTCCTCTGTCTCTAGATCCACAGACTTCAACAATAATTTTTGGTTTGTTTTGCTTTCTTCTAGCTGAAATGTAGTTTATTACTACTGAGTATTTTTCACATCAAGGAGCAGACAAGCAAATTTTATTTCAAGTTGACAAGTTTCTACTAGGAATCTATGCCAAAGTCATGTCAGTTGTAGCTGTAGCTTCCTGTGTTAATTTTTACACTCCATTTCATTTCTGTAATTGTAAGACTGTATACAAAGCTACATGATTACCACCAGAGACTGGAACCAGACTAACTTGTGTTAGATTTTGCTCTCCCTAAGCCTAAATAAACTTTTTTCATTTAATATCATTAATCTTTAACATACTCTGTCTAAATACCTACTCTTTCTAGTTAGCTTATCCAAATAGCAGTGTTATGGAATATATTATTACAACTCAGTTAAACCATATATATTTGGATCTTTTGATAAATCACTTAGAATCAGTCCCTCCCAAGTCCTATCAAACTTTCAAATATAAGGCTTGAATTAACTTAATTATAAGTTTTCCTTTCCAGACTACCTTTGAAGCTTTGGATCAAAAAAACAAGCAGGAAATAAAAGTTAGAATTAAATGCCCTCACTCACGGGCCCTAACTACCAAAGCTGAGTAAGTTCTTTCTAGATCAGATCTGCTTTGCTATGGCTGGATGTATGGATACATCCTAGTGATCCTTTGCATTGTGGAATGGTTTACTTTAAAGCTATAAAAATGGTGGATGCAATATAAAGAAATCTTCTGCCCGAGGAATTTACAGTCTCCCATCTTTTCAAAGAAGACTTCTAAGCCCTTGCCAGGAATTCCGCAGATACCAGTTCATAACAACTAAAACTTTGTGTATGTGCTTTTTATGTTCACATAATATTTCAGGTAGTTAACTGCCTGGCAGGTGCAAATAAATATTTAAGCTTTCAAACCAGGCAGAACTTCAAACAGATCTGTACTCATAATTAACCACATTCCCCAAACTGAAGGATATGATTTAGATGATGGATTCGAGCCCTTTGAAATCTTGGACTTCATAATTTAGCAGTCCAGCAAAGATACAAACAATTGACTGTTCATCTTTTATCAGTACATGTGCAAAACTGATGTGCACCAGTTTTCCCACTGTTCTATTTACAAAGCTGTCAAGTTATATGGCTGATGAGAATTGAATAGTTCCCAACTCCTCCTCACCCTTTCCATCCTCCCACTCTCAACTTTAAAAGAGAGATCATCTCCTGTAGCATTTGACCTTAGGATTGCAGAAAAGAGAAATAAAATTTGTAATACCAATTAGCTAGATTTCAAAAAAACATTATTTCATTTTTGTGCCATATTAAAAAAAGAGCACAAATATATGCTGTCTTTATTTTTGCTGTTGTGAAGAACACTTAGCACACTCCTCCCTTTCCACCTTCTCTTTTCAATGAAAGAAATTTTTCTCTCTCAAAAGATACACAGTACAAGCCATAAAAACTGAATTCAAGCTAGTTAAAAAGACTCTTCAAAGTTCAAATGCACCTCAATTTTCTTGATACAGCTTTCACCATGACAGTAATGTGCCATCTCTTTAACTTATGTGTCTCCAGAACAGCTCTGTTCAGAAGTGTTTCACTGAGGTATCAAGAGGGGTGACTGGTCAAGGCTGCCCAGGAATCTGTAGCAAACTAGTTAACCAAACTCATTATTTTGTTCTAGCTAAAAATATTAAATGCACAGAATAATGCAGACACCTCTTCAAGAACTACCAGGCGACTGTTAAAATTTTCTTTCACTATGTACTACCCAAACACTGATCCAGACAGAACAACCATAAGTCTAGCAGACTATAAGGGTACTGGAGTTAAGTGGCATGGTTTTTCCCTAAAAGTTGAATCCAACGCAGACAGTAAATGAACAGTAAATTAGATTTTAAACATTATTTCAATTAAAATAACCTCAAATTTCATTTAAAAAAATGCTTTCAGGCATCATTAAGATATAATCTGCAAGTACATTTTAGAATTGTTTCTAGTCGCACTGATTACTCACTACCTATGTAAGTCCCTAGACAACACAGCCAGAGCAGTTCCATTTATGCCATGATGATTACAAGAATACTTGGGGATTCTCAAGAAAAAGTCTTCCAGGCATTAAGACACTTTTAATTGGTGTCGGGTCATGTAACAGGTTGTGGCACTACACTGGTGCTGGGAAATGGAAGTTTTTCCTAATACCTTTGAGTACATGGCCTTGTTAAACAATTTTAGCTTCCTTAAAGCACCTCAGGCTGTGTGTCAGCCTCATCTAGAATCCAAAATGAGCTGGATCTATCAGCAGAAGTCTCTGAGCAGGACAGGCTGCAAACATCAGACTTAGCTGCTGTGTCAAAGTGCACAGCTAGGGTCAGAAAAGTTTCATTCCCAGTGCAGATGATTTGACATGCCTACATGCAGCTGCTCCTGTTTCCAGAAACATGTTGGCCTCTCCTGAGCTGAGATCTGGCAGGCTTCCTCTCTTGCTTTGGAAAGCTGAGTGACTGCTGAACACGGCAGCAGCTGCTCTCGGTGGCTTCACTGTGACAACACATCAGCACAGCACTTTGATGTTCTTGTGTGGGGACTGTCACATCCAGGAATAGCTTCAAACAGTACCTGCCTGCTTAATTCACAATTCCTTTTTCTGACACAACATGCAGGTCTCCTCTTTCCTCATCATATACCTCTGGTACAAGGAAGCAAGCTGTGATACACAGCCCCACCTCAGCAACCATCAGGCTGCCTCTCTGTAAGCAGCTGTCTCTTGGTGACAGTATTTATCATGGCTTACTTGATGGCAGTGCTGGTTTTAGGCACTCTCTCTTTCAGCTCTTGGTAATTCCTCTCTTCCTATTCCTTCACCTTGTCATTCCTTTCTATTCCTTCCTTGTCATATATTGTCCTCAGTGCAGTGGCTTGGCTGAGAACTTTAAAAATATGATGGTGAAAGGGCTGGAAGGACTTTCATTTCCATATTTAAACATTTTTAAGAAAAAGGCTGAAACACAAACTACATCATGTTTGGTTTTGGGTTTTTTTCCTGCATTAATTGTGATTTGTATAAATTTTAATAATATATAAGGTTTGGTTTATTTCAGAAACATATATAAGATAGGATGAAAGGCTGTTACTATCAAGCCAAAACAATGACTATTCGGGCACTGGCAAACTGAAGCCACCTAAAGAATGAAAGATACTAAATGATTTGAGCTTAACTACATGATGCTTTGTTATCTACTAAAATGAATGAGAAATGCAATAATGCTGAGCCACATGAAGCAAACACTTCCTTCTGAAACAACACAACCATTTCAGTCTCCCACCCAGAAGAAAGCACTGATTAACAAAAAAAAACCAAAAAACCTAACAAAACCCCCAAACAAAAATCCCCAAAAAACAACATGAAACAAGGACTGCACACACTGAAAACTAAGCTAATTCAAAGGCTTCACAAACATTACCAAGGACACATGTTTATGAGAAGAAAAGGCCATACAGAGATTTTTTTTAAATTAACAAATAGAAGCAAAAAAACAAGGGAAGCAGCTTTCACTCTCTTCCCCATCAATTCTATTGATACAATAACAAAGCTTCCTTTCTTCTGGCAATATGGCAATATGTTAAAAGTACTTAATAAAAATACAGTTAACATAAGACATCAATGGATTTGAGCTCTAAGCTAACGTAACATTGCAGTGTTGTTGTCAGAACAGTATATAGGCAATCAGGAAAAGCTGAGGGTGGTACTATTTTCATACTTTAAGGAAGAAAAAATTACTTTGAAAACATTTTTGAAAAAGAGAGCCCCATTAAACTATGACAGTGAAAGCTGAAAAGAATGGTGTAGATTCAGAATTAGATACATGAATAAGGTTGTGGTTTTTGCTGCTTTTACTTTGTTTTAGGCTGTCAGGGGTTTCTGAAGTTGTTTACCTGTACAGGAAGGTCAATGCAATAGACTGAGCACTGGTTTGCAACCAAAATTAAAACACTCACCATGGAATCACAGAACAGCTAGGTTAGAAGGACCCTTGAAAGAAAATCTGATTCAAACTTTCATGGGTCAGAGACCTGAGCCGATCTGAGATGATCTAGCACCCTGTCCAGCTGCATCCTAAAACAATCCCCAGTGATAGGGATTCTAGGGAGATTGATTCACTGAAACAATGTTCTCACTGTAAAAAATAAATTCTCCTGGTACAATCACTCTTCTCCTGCCCATCACCCTTTGTCTTGTCCATATGGTGCCTTGTGAAGAGAAAGCTTCTGTTCCATTCTACAGCCTCTGACTACTCTGTTCTACCAAAAAAGTTCCTGCATTACCATGGGCAAGTTGATTCATGTTAGTGTCTTGTATAAATTGAGAAAGGGCAGCAGCATTTCCCTAATTTAAAAAGGTGAAATGCTCATATAGTATAGCAACAAAGATACATATATCTAACTGAAATTGTAAATAATAGTTGTAAAAATAAGTATATACACACACACATATATATGTGCACTCTGTACATTGGGTTTTTGCCCAGTGTTTCTGTAAAGTCAGTCATGAAAAGAAAGAAAACTACATATTTAGGTTGTAACTGAGATAAAGTAATTTCTCATACACAAGATGATAAAAGCTGGGCTTTTGCATTCACCAACACCGGTTGATGTGTTTTGTTAGAAACAAAGAAAGAAACTTGTCTGTCAATTGCTTAAAACACTCAGTGGAACTGAACCAAAAACCCCACCACTAACATTGTATTTTACTATACACTTAGACACAATCATGCTCACATATCCAGCAGTATATCTAGTTTTATCCATGAACACTAAATATTTAATAGCAAAACTGACACATTATTCAGTGCTAAGAAACTGTAATTAAACTATAGCACTATTATATCATTGCTTTCCCATATGTAAAAAACCAATCAAACAAAACTTCTCCTGGGCTGCAAATTACTTCAAGTATATCATTAAATGCCTCTTCCCTTTGCATTCTGACCTTTGACTTCACGCATTTGTTGCTTCAAGCTGTAGTTCCACATGAATACTTTAAACCACATTTCAGTTACAGCCACAGCATCACATCCTTCTCTATGATTCACAGAAAATGGTACCTCTATTTATGGAGGAAATGATGATTGCACTCATTTAGGTTTGAGCAAAATCTGTTATTTCATTTCAAGTATAGAAGAAAAAATATTTTTGAAAGTCTATTACTGTCTGTGAGAAGTAATTGCTTACATAGTGAAATGAATCAAGCATTCATATTTTCAAAACCATAAAACTAGTCCTAATAATCAGGACTATCAGACTGTAAACAAAAATAGGTGAAGCAAAACCATAACTTGAATAGTGTACTATTGCAAACTATAACTTTGCTGTTCTAGTTTAGTGTTTCTTTATTGAATTGAATGCAATTACTGAGGGCCTTAGTTTTATAGCTTTTGGGTTTTATTTGCCAGCTAGATAAGTATATTTTCTGACTATATAAATGCACATAGTACTGGCCCACTGTTATAAAGTGCCATATTTACAAGTGCCTTTATAAATTAAAACACTCCTTAGAAGCTAATTTAAGGCCAATCTGAAAAAATCCAAACTAAACCACATCCATGTCGTAAGTCATGTCCAAATCTCTGCTTTAACAGCATTGCTTGTATAAGTAAACCTTAACTAATGCTGCCCAACATACAAAGGGACTCCCACTAGTGTGAAACTAAATATTTCTGTTAACACACTGAACACTCACCACGGGGGGTCAAGAGATAGAGAAAATGTGTCACTCAATTTCAGTAAATCCCTTCAAATCACACACAAGCCACAATACTTAACTTGTGCTTTTTTTTTCAGAGCTGAACATAATAGGAACTGCAGAGCCATAAACTGAAAGCTTCTTTTCCCCCCTGCAGTTTGAACACACATACACACCAAACTTCATAATGGCTTATGTTAAAAATTTTTCAAAAGAAACATTTGAAATTCCCCTAAATGCCCTAAATTCCACCTTCACCATCCTTTTTACACTATCAGTAGAAGTACAAGGCAGAGTTTGCCCTTCTGCATGCAAAGGCCATGCTCTTTTTGGCCTCACCTCTCAGGAAGGGATCTGACTGCAGTTATGTCAGGGTCACAGCTTCACACTCCAGCACTGGGCAAGATGTGGGTTTAGAGCTGGATGCTGAAGAAAGGGTTTTACACATGCATGAATTTGGATAGGTCTACTCACCCTTCCTGACACCACCCTGCACTCTTTTTTGCCTTTACCATGCTCATGTCTCTGGCAGGACGCTCTTGCTCCCTCAAGACATCCAGTCTCCCAAGACACATAACTCATTTTGTTCTCTTTCCCCTCCAGTATTGAGTTAGTGAATCCCAACATTTCCCTGCCTCCTCCTTCTTCCACTGTTCTCTATCCCTGCTCATGCACAGCACCTACTTTTCTCTGAACTGAAAACAACTAAGATGCCCCTCATGACTTGCATTCAGACTTGGAATATTGTTAAAAATTTTGCCAAGTGAATTTTCTACTGAATCCCAGCCCATAATCCCAGCCAGCATTCATCTCCACTGATTCATTTCCACTGTCCTAAAAACCTAGTAATTAAGAAACTTTTATGGGGATTTTCTTTTGGAAGAGACGCAATTGTTATAAAAGCAAAATATAATTACATAAGATTCACAATAGTATTTCTTTCTCCATGATATTAACAGGAACTTCTTATGTGCATTCTAAATATTACCAAGTATTTTTCTGGCCTCAACTTTTTCAATTACTTTTCATGGCATAAAGATAAAAATTAGGTTTATATCATTTTTAATGAATTATAAAACAAAGAAATTGAACCTGACTTGAATCTGGCTTCCTAAAGTGCCCCAACCACAGACCTAGTGAAAACACAACAATGGCCTAGCTCCCTTCTGTTCTCAGGAAATATATTTGCTCTCATTTGAATCTTATTCTGCATTTATATACTGATGACCTTTTTTATTATAAACCATTCTGTTAAGACAAGAAGTCATATACAAAATATTTAAACTTTGACACCCAAAATCAAGCACGGATTGTAAAAGACAATATTGTAAAAATTAAGCCCCTCCACGTCAGCAATCTGTACCCATCACTGGTTTGAAATTAATTTTTCACATTGTCTTCTACAGAGTAAGGTTATTCAGTCTTAATTCCTTGTAGTTTTTCCCCCCTCTTTGTAGTTTCTTCCCTCCTTTGTTGCACTAACTCACCTCTAAAACAATAATTTGAGAGCCCATCCAGATGGTAGTGCCTAATTTATTAGTGGCATCATCATTTTCTGAACTGAGCATTTTATATAAAATGAAACAGATAGCACGGTTCTTGAAAAACAGTAAATATTTTCATGTAAGTACAGATATCCATTATTTTAGATCATATACATAAGTGCACTTAGCAGAAATAAAGTAAATTCAAGAAATAATGATTCCCTTACTTTTGAGAGTTCCATTCCAGGCCCACATTGTTTGCAGAGGATACAGTTTCCAGTCTGGTCCCTAAATTCTTGTTCTCTGCAGTCTCCAGTCTCACAAATTACCTTACTCAGCTAAAATACACAAACGAACAACAAAACCAAAAAAAGGGTAAATTCATCAAAATAAGTCTGAGAAATAAGCTCATGCTTTTATCTTAAAAACAACTTTCTGGATTATTAATTACCCTTATTTCTACAGCAAGCCAGAGTTCAGTACACTGAGCAGGCTGTGCTACATTCTGCCCACAAACTGAACACTCCAAACACTTCAACCATGGATGCAGCTCACTGGAGTAAGAGATGGCCACCTCTGAAGTGATGCAGAATCACCTCCACAGCACTATATTCAGCTATATTTTCTGTCCTAGTCCACTCTTTTGTCCATGAAGAGGCTCACACAAGGTAAAATTTTGTAATTGTGTGTGAGGAGCTGCCAAAAATTATATCAACCAGTGGGCCAAGCTTAAGCTCAAATCAATAAAATGTGTAAGCAATGGCCTGTGTGCAGTATCTAAAGACCTTTGGTGTTAGCTGTAATGTGTAAAACAAAAGACACAGTTTCTGTGTTTGGTACAATTTTTTCAACATGGGGGAAAAATATTAATCTTTAACTTACCAAACATGCTAGTAAAATGACAAGCACCTTCACTTTATCATCTCCTTGTAATCCTTCAGCATCCATTTCTTGCAATTAAACCTTTCTCCCTAGAAAAATATAAAGGAAAAAAAAGGAAAAAATCATTATATTTACATTGTTTAAATTGCAGAAGTCACATATCCATGGTACTTCATGACACTTGGCATGTCAAAATACAATCTGTCAATGCCTTTAGCATTTTCAGATGGATTCCTGGAAGCTGCTAAACAACAAACACATGCTTTAAAAATCATATGGCTTTTGAAGACAAGACAATAAACACAAAGTTTCTATAATTTAAATCTTAAAAGAAGAGATGGCTATCAGTCTAAATTAGAGAACAACATTTATTAATCTAGCATCCCTAACATACATTTCTTGCTTGTTAAACACTCAGCTTAGTACATGATCAACAGACAAAAATAAATTTCTTCAAACAGGCCATGTAGGTTTTATTATTTTAGAGTAGACACTGACAAATGAAAGGATGGAACCCAAAACAAAAGGAAGATAACAGGAAAACATTAAGAACAGTTGCAAAATTATTTTCAATATGGAACTACTACAAGCATAATATGCTTTCAAAAACATACAACCAGAATGAACATAGACCATGATTAACACACAGGTCCACATTTTACTGCATGAATACCCCAATTAATGAATTCTAACCAATAAAAAGAATGCATACTTGAGTGTCACTATTGATATTTTTAAAGATAAGCTATATTTTGAACTGTAAAAAAGTCAAAAGTCTACTAGAAAGAACAGAGCAGCTAAAGATGTGTCAGACAGCACTCCATGGAAAAGCCAAAGTGACATTTTATGGTTATTTCTCACTTAGTGATGGTAATGGCCAATGACAATTACCAGATTAAGTGCATGTCAACATGGGTAAAAAAGAAGACACAGTCTCAAGGAATATGAATACATACAGATATAGTATTTGACATAAGTTTCTTTTTTAAGTCTGAGGGGAAAAAATTAAGGCAAGAAACATTAAATGAAAAAATCTCAGAAATAATTCTGGATGACCAAAACACAACTTCATGTAAAAAGTACTGTGGAACAACTAGAAAAATGGAAAATGAGAGTAAACGAATTTTAGAAGTTTTGAAATCATGAGAAGCCAACAATTCTAATGCTGAAAAAAATAGGCATGTAATTTCTAGTAATAGCAAAGGGCAAACAGTGGACAAAGACAGTAAAAACACTTAAGGGAACTCAGAAATGTCAAGAAACGTTTATCTTCTGCTTTTTGAAACATACAAAATGAGCAAATACACACACCATACATTCTATCTTCTGGCCAAAAGGTAACTGAATACCTTCTAAGTAAAACCAGATTAGATAAGAGATTAATTGTGAGACTTTGCACCTCAGTAACCTTGAAATAAGTGCCAAGAAAGTCTTAATTTTCATCTTGTTCAATTTTGCTGTTAATTTCTTTTGAATCCCTTCCTTGAATGCTACAGAAATTCAAGAATAATACATGAAGAAATTTAAAAATAACTAAGCATCATAATACAATAAACAACTCTACGCTGCATTACAGAAAAGCAATCCTGGAAAACAAGCCTGACTTCACTTGATTCAGAGCAGACAAGACAAAAAAAGTCTAAGAGTTAAATGAAATAAACTGATTAAATATTGATTCAAAGAATCATGCTGAAATTAATGGGATTTGAGAGAACAATCCCCATTAACTTGGATTTCATGTAATATTGTTTAGTGGAAAAAATAAATATTTCATGTGCTTTCTTAATTGCTATAGGAGTTTAAACTTTACAGAAGTGTTCAAGGGAAATAAAGTCGTAAATATAATTTAATCTCTTAGATTTGAATGTTAAGTGAATACTTCAAGTCATATATATTCCTTAAAAATTAAAAAATAGCTAAATCAAGTAAAATTCTAATGTGATTATGACCATCTATAGAATACTACCAAAACTTCAAAACCAAGACTCTTCCTAAGGTTAGAAGTAAGTTATTTTAAGTTTCAATATTTACTTTTGCTTCTGAAAATAGATGTGTAACATATCAAAAAGAAACTGAAGAGTGTAATAATTGTATACTTTTGTGTCAAGTTTCACATAGAATTTCCAATGCAAAACATAGCAGTGAGCTGTACTAAGCCTAATGGTCTAAAATATGGAGCTCTAACATATTCTAAGAAGTCAATTTTTTTCTGTGGAAGTCACCTGAAGCATGGAAAAAATAAAAAAAATTAAGAACATCCCAATTAACTGCCCTGCAGACTAATTATTTGCAATAGGAATAAATTAGCTTAATGTAATTCAGGTATATTAACCCTATATATTTTCTCCAATATGCAATAACTTGAAGATTTAATTTTGTTAAAAAATCAGTATATATACAACTTATCAAAATAAATAATGAAACAAAGCTAATTACATATTTTCATCTTTTAGTATTCTGGAGTCACAATTGGAATAAAAATCGAATGCCAGTACAGAACAAAAAGCAGTATTAAAAATCTTGCTGGTCATGCTGACATCTTGCATTTCAGTTTTGAAATTGCCCTATCTATTATAAGATGATCTTCTTACAGCAAGTACCTCAAAGACTTTTAGAACATAAAAAGCACACAGTAAACCATCCTGTGCCACAATACATTTTGTTCATTTAGGTGTGAAATTTGATTGCAGCTGTGAAATATTCTCTATTTAAAAGAAAATCTACTGATTTTATAATAGTCTCATCAAGTCTAATCACCAGGAGTTCCTCAACTCAGAGTAAATTTTCAAAATCAATTGTTTTATAACTGGCATCAAACTATCAAAGACTTCTGCAACTTATCCTACACTTAACTAAGGTTCAGTTTTTTGATTGATCCTAACAAGTTTCACGAGATCTTATGGCTTTAGGCCTAGGATATATCTTCTATATAATAAGTCTTCTATAATCAACAAAGATTCCAAAAGAAGCTTGCAGGTCTATGGACCTTAAATTTCAGAGCACTTCAGTAGCACCAAAACACAAGTAATTTCAGCAGACTTGTATGAATGCCTGTGATACTCTATCATGCCATCATTGTGCCCACTGTCACTACTCCTACCAAAACAACACCAAAGACTCCATACAGACTAACATGTGAGGAAGAAATGAGCAAGTGTACAAGAAATAACCATTGTTAAGAGGACAAATAAGATGTTTCTTTCATGACAACGTTTTGATAAAAATAATTGAAAGGCACCTTAATGGTTAGGGCACACTAATAACTCCTTGTATTGAATCCAAGTCCCAAAGGAGAGAACTGTGTCAGCTGCATGTTTCCTGTTTCAATTTCCAGTTTGGTCAAAAGTCCTGCTTAAAAAGCAGAGACTGCAGCACTTTATAATAGGTTGCCATTGGGCAAATTTCTTCTCTCATATCAAGTGGCATTATACTGATGCCTGCTGGACACCAGCCATTCACCTCATGCTTTCAAGTAAGAAGTTATTAGAAGATTTTGCTCTGAAACATGTGCGAGTAAACAGAGGTTCCATACCTTTAAAGACTATTTGCTCTTGTCCAGATACTGATATTTAAAATGCCAAGTTCAGTTATACTCAATTTTATTAGAAGAAAGAAACCTGTGGACAGAGTTTTTTGAGGTCACTAAATAATTCCAAATACATCTTACTAGGTTAGCAGTAATATGCTTGCCTAAAATACTCAGGGAAAAGCAATCATTACTGGTAATGTACTGAACTCAGGATAGAGAGCTTGAATTAGGAAATGTGGTTGCATAATTTTAAGGTCATTTGGGCCCCACTATGCATAAGCATAAAGAGGGTAATATCAAAAAATAAATTAGAAACATGGTGGAAGTAAGAACTTCCAGCCTTTTAGGACTCTAGAATCCATTGCAATCTAAAATTTACTCTTACATTTACCAGCTTGCTTGAATAGTACTCATATTATTTCAAAGTCCATGTCCAAAAAAGATTTCTTTTTTTCTCTCCAAAAAACTTAAATTTCCACCGTGAAAGACACACCGTCTCAAGAATCAAAGCAGCATGACTAAATTATGGCTCACTGGCAGGTTTCTCAGACACGGAAGCGTCAAAACTTTGAAATCAATATCATCCACCTTCTAAGGGAATTAGAATTGGTGAAGAGTCCCAACTTCACATTCACTTAACTTGAAGTTGTGAATTCCCAGTTAATTCACAACCAGGTCTTAGAAATTTCCCATATTTGATTTGATATTTTTACTTGACGACCACTTTTCACCCGCTCTATAACACTGGCAGAGTACTCTGAGAAGTCCAGGGTAGGGAAGAGGGATGGAAATATAATCATCTTATCTTGCCAACAGAGGTCTCTGGTACCCAACAAACAGGGTCTCAGCTCCTTTCTAACCACCTACTTCCCACCCGCAGCTGTCAACTGCTCGCAATAAAACAAGGAGTGGCAGATGGCTTCAGCAGAGTCAGTGCCCCAGGGGCAAGAAACAAGAGAAGGGAAAGTGCTCACTGCTGCTGCAATGACAAAGACAAAGAGAGGGAGCAACTTAGGGACAAGAACTTCCACTACAGCACTGCACATTGTTAATTCTGTCTCACAGGTCTAGAGCACCTTCCCTTTACACCCTGCCCACAACCCTTGTAGTCTTCCCCTTTGTGAAGTAAATGAGGTCTTGTCTGACCACATTCACTCCAACTTTTCCGAGGAAGGTGGGGGGAAAAACTCCATAATGTCAGCTAGGGCACATTCATCACATTAAATAACACATTGAAAAGATCTGTATACATGAAATTGTACGACATTAGGCAGCTATGTAGTTATTTCTAATTTTGTAAAGACAAAGGTAGCAGATTAAAGTTAGAACCTTTCTGGTGATCAAAAACACTTAGATGTCTTTAGGGGCTGAGGGAGATGAGAAGATACGGCCACGACACAGCTAGGGAATACTTGTGGTCCTTCTGAGTACCGCAGGCTTCAAGCTACGTTAACTGAAGTACTTGTCTTTACAGGAATAATGGTGATAAAGCAGTTTATCATTTGTGTTCTTCAACATACCCTGCTTATCATTAACTAGACATTAGAGTGAAATATTGTAACAAAGGTGCAATGTGGCAACGTTTTTCCTATACATAAACAAAGCATTTTGGAGGATCAGAGCCTGTGATTCACACAAGAACTCCCACTCTCACCAAAGTTGATGAGCCTACTCGTACAACAACAAAACTCTGGTAAAAAAAAAAATTGCTCCTTCTGCTTAATACATCTCACCCATCTCAAATTCTAGGAGACACTGGTTTGCTAGATGAGAACTCAGTGTCAAGACGCACTTGTACTTTTGTACTCAGATATGTGAATAAGTAATACAATGAGAATGCCAGTGCTATATTCATACTTCATTTACGCCAAAATATAATAATAGTTCTTTTTTAAAGTAGTTTTTAGGGATCATGAATTATAAAGCATTAGGCTCGGTAATATAGTTAATGCACCTTGCAATGGTGCAATGCCAATATGCTATCCAGCCAGCCTTGAGCAATTTTAGATGGCATGCAATGTCTTAAAAATCACAGACATGAGTTACTTTCATTCACGCTATTCTTTTTTATTACGACTGCAAGTTGTTGAAAGTGAGAAAAAGTGACTTATTACCTCCTTAACTGACATTTTAAGCATCTTACTAGTAAACTAATAAAGAAGCTTACTTCTAGGTCTAAAAGAAACAAGCAAAAAAACCCCAACAAACCAACCAACCAACCAAAAACAACAACAAAAAATAACCTACCCAAAACCCAACCCCTTTTCTCTTATGGTAACAAGCTCCCAGGTAACACACATAAGTAACTTGCTTTACGCCTGATGGTGAAGGTGTGCTTGAAAGAGATTACGCAGTAGTTAAGAAACCTACCTACAGACTGAATCAATTTGCCACTTACTCATATTAAATGCTACTGGACCACTTCATAAACTTAATAAAAACATCCATCTAAAGTAGACGTAAATATAAAGGCAGTAAATAAGTATCTAGACTTTTCACGAACATCAGGCAAAGCTTTTGGTCCAAGGTCATATTAAATGGGGATTGCCATTAGCAAAGGAAGTCAAACAATCAAAACCTTTTCAATAAACCGAACTGTAACTGGGGCTTTTAAACCTCTTACCAGCCAAAAGAAAAAGTTAGGAGCTCCTATTCCTTCAACTCCAGCTCTCAAATTGTTTGAAGCAAACAGCAGCTTATTTTATGCAGCAGACACGAGAAGCGCTGGTGAACATGAAAGCCCAGCTTTCAAGGGCTTTTTGTTCGCCGCGCTCCGGGGCGTGGAGCAGCCACTCCAGGGCTGCCGAGACCTGCAGGACGCACCAGCGGAGCCGCGGCCCCGCGCCCGGGGACCCACCGGGGCGGCTCGGAGCGGCACAGCCGGAGCCGCGGCGGGAGGAAGGGACCCGGCCGAGCCCTGCCCCGCTGCCCCGCAGCCCGCGGAGCTCGCCACCATCACCTCCCTCGCCGCCCACCCCGGGGCAGGCAGCGCGGCTCGGTGCCAGGCGGGGCGGCCTCGGGGCGGCGGGGCCCGGCCGCTGCTCGCCCCGTGGCCACCGCGCTCCGCCCGGCTGTCGCACGCACCCACCTGCCACGCCGCGGCTGCGGCCGCCCCGGCCGGCCCAGGAGCGCTCGGGCCGCGCCGCCCCCGCCCCGCCGCCGCCAGCCCGCCCTCGGCGCCCGCCCCGTCACCGCGGCAACGCCGCACCGCGCCCGCCCCCGCCCCGGAGCGTCACCGAGAGCGGGCAGCCAATGGGACGGAGGGATGGATG